GGAGGCGGGGGAGGAGGAGAGCACCTTATAAATGTCTACAGAGTCTTGAGGCAAGCCCATCTTTTCGCGCGTCTACCTGTCCTCTTGTCTGAACAACGGCTCTTGAGGGGGGTTGTCTTTGCATCTCAGCACCCTGCACAGAATCCTGTCCTTAGTAGTGACCCCGGTTGGGCTCTGCCTCTGAGAACGGAGAGTCCGAGAACCGGGGCTCCAACACCCAGTTACTGTCCCCTCTGTCCTGTAACTTGATTCTTTGACCCTCACGTTCCAAGGCAGTGTTGCGCTGGCCTGTTTTATAAAGGCCTCCAAAGAAGGAAAGTTCTTTCTTGGAGCTCACCTAACTCTCTCCTGCGGTGCCCTCAAGTGATTCAGAGGGATTAGGGATTAGAGACAGAGTCATCTCCAGGGTGACATTTTCATCCATCAACAGCTTGAAGAAAAAGACACAGGAATGTTGATTTGCTAGTGTGATGCTGATGATTTCTTGGAAATGACTGCTCTTGATTCCGAATATCTTTTCTATTTGAGCAAGATGAAAACATCCTTTCTTTGATGAAGCAACGGTGTTGTGGTGGTGTGTTACATGCCCACTGCTCACTTCTGAATCACAGTGACCCTGCAGGACAGAGTAGATCTGTCCCAAAGGGTTGCCAGGCTGTCAACTTTCTGAGGGTCACGCGGTGTGGGGCTGCTAACAGCAAAGTGAGCAGTTTGAAGCAGCAGCCACCGTGCACAGTGGGAGAAAGATGAGGCTGTCTACTCCCTTAAAGAGTTACAGGCTCAGATACCCGATCGGTCGTTCTGAGGGGGCATTGACTGGACGGCGGTGAGATGGAAGGTCACAGCTGTGACGCCAGAAACAAAACAAGAACCAAACTCACAGCCATGCGGTTGATTGGGACTCACAGTGACCCTGTAAGACCGGGTAGAACTGCCCCTGTAGGTTTCCAAGACTGACACTCTCTCTGTAAGGGAGGACAAGGCCTTCTCTTAGGAGCAGCAATGATCTGAGTCAGAAGTGATTGGACCAAGCAATCAACATCACCATCTGCTCACAACAAGCGCCTGCAGGGTGTGGGGTCCGTGGACTTGGTTTCAAATCCAAGCCGTTGTGCGGGGCTTGAGACGTCCATGACCAGAATACAGGTCTGCTCATTAGCTGTCGGGGTGGTGCAAATCGTTTGGCTGCTCACCAAAAGGGTGGCACGAATGTGTCTCGGAAGAAAGGCCTGGCAATCTTCTTCCCAAAACTCGGCCACTGAAAACGCTGTGGAGCACAGGCCGCCTCTGACACACGGGAGGTCGCCAAGACGAGGAATCAAATAAAAAAGTAGCTGGTTTGATATTAATTTGCCACCTGGAAGGGCTGCGGGCAGGCCTGCATGAGAGAATGCGTGGGGTGCCCCGCGGGGCGCAGGGCACGCTGAACACGTGCGAGTGGCCTCAGTGGAAAGCCAGCAAACAGATAAGCGCACAGCTGGGGGTCACCCAGGTCCAGGCTTGAACCCCACTCTCTCCAAAGCCACCCTGTCCCCGTTGCGCATACCCTGGCCCAGGAAATAACAGTCTGGGACCTCATGGTAGCCAGTGACGCCCGCGACGGCTAGGGGACCTAGAAAAACGACGTGAAAGCCCGGGGAGCAGAGGGGCCCGGCGCCCCCCTTCCCCCCCAAGGCACCGTTCTCCGCCCCAGCGTCGCCGCGCTCCCCCTCGGGGACCACCTCCTCCGCATCCGGCGGCAGGGACAGGAAGTTCTTTGCTCTCCCCCCTCGCGCCCCGCTCTCACTTTCTCTCTCCCCCTCCCCCTTTGGGCCTTGCCCTCTCCCGCCTGCAGCCCACACCTAGTTTACCTCCGTTCCGGCGCACCCTCAGGGGGCACCCCCCTCTAACTGCGCCCAGCAGCCCCTCCATGACACGGGGCGAGCCCCGGAGCTGCCCGGGGAAAGAGGAGCTGCTCAGAGCCCTGGGCTGGGGATCCAATGGCCTGTCCGGGCGAGCGGTGGAGAGGGACCCCGGGACCGAGGGACCCAGGGACGTTCTTAGTAGCTCCGCCAGTGCGGAGCTTCTCCGGTGCGGGGCTCGGAGGGATGCCCTAAGGGAAGGGATTTGTGCGCCCAAAGAGGGCGGCTAGGTGGGATTCGTTAGCTCTGAGCTGGGCAAGGGCCATGGGTAGGACCCACGATCTGCAGCCTATCCTTTTCCCCAGACTGAGGGGCTGGAAGGAGGATGGAGCGAGGCCACGCCTCTTGAGTCCACGTCGCCATTTCCATGGTGTGGTGGGGAAGCGGCCTGTAGGTTGGGAGAGGGAAGGGACTTCAGAGGCGTCCTTGGTGGTTGGGGAGCCGGGATGGGCATTTCCATCTTTGTTACCTCACTCACTGTTGCTCGACGAAGTTGAGTCTGGGCAAGGTTTTTGCTCTGTCATTCCACAAGGCCTGTTGGCGATGGGCTGCTAGCTGTGAGGCAGCCGGTTCGAGCACCCCAACAGCAGAGGAGGTAGTCTGCTCCTGTAAAGATGTTCAGCCTCAGAACCCCTGTGTGGAGCCGCTATGTGTCAGAATCCCACTGGAAACAGACTGCTACATCTTTCTCCGACAGAACAAGTGATCGGTGTAAGCCAGCAACTTTTGGTTCGCTGCCCAGTCCCTACACTGCACCACGGAACTCCTAATAAAAAGGGTTTGGTTAGCGTTCTAATAACTGCTGCCATAAAGATTTATAGACTTGCAAACCTTAAGGAGGAATTCAACGCTGCCCAATAGGGTCACCACGAGTCTGAAGCTGCTGTTGGAAATGAGTTTTTCACTATGCGTGGTGCCATACCTTTAGGTTCTAGGATGCAATTCCCTCTATCCCAACCTTGGCCTTGGTCTTTTGGGTGATCATGAGTTAAGAAATGGTGACCATGCTTCCTGGTTTGTGCCTGTGAAGTTGACATCGTTATGAATAGTTTCCTTCTCGTGATAAAAGGTGTCCTACATTGGGCCTCCACTCAATCACTTACTCAATGTGAGAACACGTTGTTCTATTAAATTGGCATTCCAGGATGCACACCTTCCCGACACGATTGCTGAAGAAAAAGGTGATCATAAGCAAATGTGGTGAAGAAAGCTGATGGTGCCC